TTGATGGCACTTAACAACAACAACTGTTACCAGAAGTGCAGCACAATGGTTGAGCACTTGAAGTCTGCAGTCAGAATGTCCAGGTTCAAACTTACCTTTACAATTTACTGAACCTGTATTTATGCAAATTTTATATCCAAAGGCACTATTGTTTTGTGGAAGTAATAAGGCTTAAGAAAAACCAGGCTAAGGTGTTATTTAAAGAATTTTTTTGTTCAAATTGTCCTCTCAGAGGGTTGTTGTTGTTGTTGTTGTTATGTGCCGTGGAGTCGGTTCCGACTCATAGCGACCCTGCACAGGGTTTCTGAGGCTGTAAATCTTTATGGGAGCAGAAAGCCTCATCTTTCTCCCACTGAACAGCTGGTAGTTTCGAACTGCCAACCTTGTGGTTCGCAGCCCGATTCGTAACCACTCTCAGAGGGTAGAGAATTAAAATATTATAAATCATAAACAGGAGTCCTAATGTGGGACTGTAGGATAAGCACTTGACTACTGATTCCAAGGGTGGTGGTTCAAGCCCACCAGCTGCCCTTTGGAAACCCTATAGAGTTGTTGTGAGTCTGAAATAACATTTAGCTACAACAACCACACAAAATCATACACATATTAAAATATTTGTCACATCGAGTATAGCAAAGGCTAAGTTTCTGAATTCATAGAAGGAGCACAGGACACATCTGCTGCAATAGGAAGATGACAGGGGATCAGAGCAGCAAACGCTAAGGGCATATTAGTCCCAAGGGTGTTTTGGGAAATGTTGGAACTCATGTAAATAAGAATGAGAAAGAACAAGTGGCAGAGGTGGGAGGTATAATCAAGCAAATACTAGGGTAAGTCTAAAAGTATTGTTACAAAACAATATAAATCTTTATTAAACAAAAATATCAATGATGTGCCTTTTCCAAAAAATCTGCCATTTCACTATGCTTGAAATGTACCAATATAATGAATCATAGCGGCTACTTCTTTTACAACCCGAGTTTCACAAATGAGATACTAGGATTCAGAAAAGTAAAATGGCATATGGCCAACTCTATACTCTAAGATAGTTCCTTGCATCTTACTCCAAGGCAATTTCTTCTCATGAAACTCACAGGCTTGGACCTTGACGTTTAGTCATGAAAATTTGTCAACTTTCAAGTGTCTTCATTAATTTTCTTTATAATTTTAGAGCAGTATAGGAGAGAGATGGAAACTATTTCCTCATATTATGTATAATTAGAAGTATTAAAAGTTTGTCATTCACTCATTTAACTGGTATTTATTAAGTACTGCCTATTTCCATGGAAGAAAGATGAGGCTTTCTGCTCCCATAAATATTTACAGCCTCAGAAACCCTGTACAGGGTCGCTATGAGTCGAAACCGACTCCATGGCACATAACAACAACACCAACATTGAGCACAATGCCTGGCACACTTCAATTTCTATTTTGAAAACAAACTTAAAATGAGCATCCAGGAATCTCCACTGAGTGGTATCCATTCTGCTTATTCAGGGCTGATAAAAGGAGATGCAGATAGGTCCCTTGCAATACAATAGCAAATAATTGTTATCAGGACTGATTGTAAGGGCTGAAAATGTAAAGGTGGACATTTTGGGGCAAAGGGAGGGGAGTGATTAACCTTACAGTCTAGGAACAGAGGTCCCTGGGGCCATTGAAGGAGAAGAGCAGAGAATGGAACCCTACCCAGAGAAGCAGTGATGCCAGTGATGGAGGCAGAGACGATGACGTGGGGAGATGGAGTGGCTGGGGACTCTGGACTCAGAGAGGGAGAGGGGCGGTGTGCGGATGACAGAGAGGCAGGCTTGCGGGGTGTACCCTTTGATTGGTCCATGATGCATGGAGGGGATTGTGACCATGGCAAGGAAACAATGTGCGACAGGATCAATGTGAACCTGATGATGTCCTCCCATGTGAACTATCACATAATTCACAATAAAGCATTAAAAAAAAAAAAAAAAAGAAGAAAGAAATTGTATTTATTAGACACTGTGGCACTGTGAGTTAACATGCTAGACAGCAAGGTTAGTTGGTGGTTCAAGCTCACCAGCTGCTCCTCAGCAATCCTATACAGGGTCACTATGGGTCAGAATTGACTCGACAGCACACCAACAACCATATACTTATAAGGAGCTCTGGTGGTAAAACAAATAAATAAATAAAATGAGCATCCACTTTGTGTTTGCCACTATGATTAGGCACAGGAGACATAATAAGATGTTTTTGTTAAGTGCCATCAAGTCATTTCCAACCCACAGCGACCTTGTATAGGGTTTCCAAAGATTGGCTTGTGTATTTGAACCACCAACCTTATAGTTAACAGTCCAGTGCTTATCCTAAAGCGCTACACCAGGAGTCAAAGTAAGATGTAGTTCTTGTTTTATGAGAGTTCATGAGGAGCCCTGGAGGTGCAGTGTTTAAACAATCCATTGCTAACTAAGAAGTCAGAAGTTCAAACTCATCAGTAGCTTCAAAGGAGAAGGTGTGACAGTTGGCTTCCATAAAGATTATTGTTGTTGTTAAGTGCCATTGTATTGGTTCCGACTCATAGCGACCCTGCATAGGGTTTCAGAGGAGAGGCTGGTGGGTTTGAACTTAAAACATTGTTGTTAGTGGTCCATCCAGTGCTTAAGTCAAATTGCAGAGATACCAATCCAGAGATTACTGTGACAGCCTAGGAAAGAAATGATGAGGAACCTTCTTTCACCTTTCTTTTAAGGTTCAAACCAAACCTCGTATTTTTCCATATAAATTTCAAAAAGCCCAATCCTAAACTTTAGTTCAAGCCTAGAACCCTAGGTAGTTTAAGAGAATTTAAAGCAAACCCTGTCATTCAAACCCTAAGTCAAACAGCAAGAGAAAGCAAAAAACCAAAACCGCCATGAAACGCCAGGTTTAGAGATGCACCTTTGTTGTTGTTGTTTGGTGCCATCAAATTGGTACCGATTCATCGCAATCCTATGCACAACAGAACGAAACACTTCTGGTTCTAGGCCAACCTCACAATTGCTGCATGCTTGAGCCTACTGATGCTGTCACTTTGCCAGTCTATCTCGCTGGATGTCTTCTTCTTTTTCTCTGACCCTTCACCTTACCAAACATGATATCCTTCTCCAGTGACTGGTCCCTCCTGACAATATGTCCAAAGTATGAGACGAAGTTTGGCCATCCCGGCCTCCAAAGAGCACTCTAGCTGCACTTCTTCCAACACAGATCTGTTTGTTCTTTTGGTAGCCCCTGGTACTATCAATATTCTCTTCTAACACCATAACTCAAATGCATCAATTCTTCTACAGTCTTCCTTATTCACTGTCCAACTTTAGCATGCTTATCAGGTTATTGAGAATACCATGGCTTGGGTCAGGCACATCTTAGTCCTCAAGCTGACATCTTTGCTCTTCAACACTTTAAAAAGGTCTTGTGCAACAGATTTTCCTAATGCAACACATCATTTGATATCTTGATTGCTGCTTCCATGAATGTTGATGGTTGATCCAAGAAGAATGAAGTCCTTGACAACTTCAATCTCTTCTTCATTGATAAGAATGTTGTTTATTGGTCCAGTGGTGAGGATTTTTGTTTTCTTGACATTGAGATGTAATCCATACTGAAGACTGTGCTCTTTGATCTTCATCAGTAAGTATGTTAAGTCCTCTTCACTTTCAGCGATCAAGGTTGTATCATGTGCATATCGCGGGTTGTTAATGAGTCTTCCTCCAATCCTGATGCCACGTTTTTCTTCACAGAACCCAGCTTCTCGTATTATTTGCTCAGCATACAGGTTGAATAAGTATGGTAAAAGAATACAACCCTGTCGCACACCTTTCTTAATTTTAAACCATTCAGTGTTACCAAGTTCTGCCTCTTAGTCCATGTACAGATTCCTCATGAGCACAATTAAGTGTTCCGGAATACTCATACTTTGCAATGTTATCCATAGCTTGTCATAATCCCCACAATCAAAAGCCTTTGCGTAGTTAATAAAGCACAGGTAAACATCTTTCTGGTATTTTCTGCTTTAAGCCAAGATCCATCAGACATCAACAATAATATCCCTCATTCCACAGCCTCTTCTGAATCCAGCTTGAACCTCTGGAAGTCTTCTGTTAATGCATGCTTGCAACTGTTTCTGTATTACCTTTAGTAAAACTTAATTTGCATGGGATATCAAAGATATTGTCCAATGATTTCCACATTCCGTTGGGTCACCTCTTTTTGGAAAGAGCACAAATACGGATCTCTTCCAATCAGTTGGCCAGATAGTTGTCTTCCAAATTTCTTGGCATAGATAAGTGAGTGCCTCCTGTACTGCCTCACTTTCTTGAAAGATTTCAATTGTTATATCATCAATTTCTAGTGACTTGTTCTTTGCCAATTCTTCAATGCACCTTGGACTTCCTTCTTCAGTATCATTGGCTTTTGATCATATGCTACCTCTTGAAACGGCTGAACATCAACCATTTCCTTTTGGTACAGTGACTCTGTGTATACCTTCCATCTTCTTTTGATGCTTTCTACATCATTCAATAATTTGCCCAGAGAATCCTTTAATAACGAAAGCTGAGGCTTGAATTTTTTTCTCCAGTTCCCCCAGCTTGAGAAATGCTGATGTACCTTGGCTCCCAGTCAATTGGCTGACATCCATTTCTGCTAACTTTGATTCCTTCAGCTGGAAAATTCCAAACCTATTACTGGTCTGAATGAGAGTTTCTTTCAGATTCTCTATCCAAATTGCGTGGAAATAATATAAAAATGGATGCTGTACCCTTTGAATTTACTCTATTTCTGTCTGTAGGCACAAGGTTCACAGCCCAGTGTCCACCAGTAGGAGGCATTCTCTCAACATGTTGGGAAATACTCATTCCTAGTAGATGACATTGTTTCCTTATCTGACTGAATTCTGTGTGAGAAGGAGGATTGTTGTTTCTATGAAGAAAGAGCTAGCTCCACCCTCGGGATACTGCCACAGCTGCTGTGCCCATTAACAAGGACAAAGGTTTTCCTTCTTTGTGAATGTCCAACATGGATGCTTTTCAGGGGATTTTAAAATTCTTCCTTAACCAGAAAACTGCTATAGGCTACAGTTTCATGGCTTTGCTGACTGTGGGAGGGGAGCGGCTTTTTTCCCTTGTGGCTTTTAAGTGCCCCTGCAGTGCTGAGAATACAGTCTATGGGCTTGCTTTCCTTTTTGCTCCTGCCTGGGTGTTACTGATCCTGGGATTCTTTCTAAACAACAGGTCCTGGAGACTCTTCACAGGATGCTGTGTGAACCCCAGGAAAATCTTCCCCAGAGGCCATGGTTGTCGCTTTTTTTATGTCCTTGGCCAGATCACTCTGCATTCACTGGTGGCTCCAATGATGTGGCTTTCGGTGGCTTTGCTAAATGGGACATTTTATGAATGTGCTATGAGCGGGACAAAAAGTTCTAGACTCTTGGAGCTGATTTGCAAAGGCAAGCCCAAGGAGTGCTGGGAAGAACTTTACAAAGTATCTTGTGAAAAAACCAGCTTGACACCCGCGGACAACGAGGAGCTGAAACTGTCATTGCAAGCCCAGTCTCAGGTAAGAAAGGACAAATTCATTTTTCTCTCTCTCCTCATTTCCACCAGGGTTGAGTCAGAGCCTTTGCCAAAACATTTTGAAGCTAAATGGAAATTGGAACATAAAGCAGCATTAAGACAATCTCAGGAAAAGCTTTTTATAGGTTGGATGGGATGCTGAAATTGCTGATTGGACCATGTATTGTCCATTTTCAAAAAGTAAATATCCTTTGAATTATGCGTATGTAAATACTTAAAGTACTTTAAAACAATCTGACTTTGTAAATAATGCAGGGCACTAAATCGCAAACTGAGTGTTAATGGCAAAGCTACAATTAGAAATTGCTGCCTCCTGTCAATTATTTTCTTTCAAACCAGTTTCTCAGAAAAAACAAAGACATATCACTCGGCTATTATAATTTTGCTGATCCAAATGAGCTAATACTTTTTGAAATTGCATGTAGTGTAATCATTGTAGAGATTTCCCTGAATGAGTTCTGGCAACTGCTATGCCTATGTGCAAATATTATCAAGATTGAGAATAATTAACTTTATAAAGTAGAAGTCAGCAGTCTTTAAGGAGCCATCAGTGAAAAATTCTTAGGAAGATCACATCTTAAAATTATTTTTTATATTACTTTAGAAGCTCCAGATTTGGGTCATTTTTTTCTTTAACAGAAGAAATAATAACTTTACTGAATTGAAGCAAGGAAATAGGTTGTCATCCTTCCAGGTGCATGGGAACAAATCCAGATGTGCTGCCTGACTTCCTATCTGTGAGAAGTAGGAATTCCAGATGTGCAGCCTGACTGCCTGACTGCCTGTGAGAAGTAGGAATTGCATTTCCCTGCTGCTGTGGCATTGTAGGATAAATACTAGACTGCTAACCACACAGTCAGCAGTTCAAATCTACCAGCTATTTCTTGGAAACTCTACACAGGGTTGCTGTGAGTTAGAACCAACTCAACACCACGTAACAACAATAACAAACACCAAAACAAGCAGTAAGAGCAGATAACAAGAACCACAATTTGTCAGAAATGCTACTTATTTCATAGTGAATGCACTGAAGATAGTATATTTTACATTTTTTCAGCAAGGATTTGTCTTTGCAATACATCAAGGCAAAGTCTATTTTTGAAACTATGCATTCCAAAGTTGGTTGTCATATTATTTTCATAAGCTGATAAGTCAAAATATATTCCCAAACAAATCTTTTGTTTAATACATAAAACACTTCTTAGATAAAACATACCAGACTTCCATAAGTCTTTCATCTTTGCTGTAGGAAGGTGTTAATTAGAAACACTATGACACAATAAATGACTTATAATTGATGCCTTCAGGCACCAGGCTTCATTCAGTTAGTGCCAAGTTCAAACACTCAACACTGTATGAGTGGTTCTTCTCCAAACACAGGCATAAGAATATCATGCACATCCTGTCATAGCTTAGCTGTTGACAGTAGAATAAGAAGGGTCAGGACTTACGGCTAATTCCTGTGGGGAGGGTGGATGTGGTATGTAGATAAGGAGGGCTGTACCAAGAACTGTTGCTGACCATAGAGGTTCAGCTAGGCAGGAAGCAATGTACCATCCAGGCCAACAGATGGATATGTTGGTGATGAAGGTGGGGATGGAAAAAGTACATTCATCCATTCATCCATGAGTGAAACAGAGAAATAAGATACCCAGCTTGGTGACTCTGTATTCTTAAGGAAGATAGTGTGGAGTAGTGGAAAGAACTGGGCCTCACAGTTGGGTAGTCTTGAATTTGAATACTGATTTAACTACTTACCATCTAATAGGTCTAGAGGTAGTGGTTTGACCTTGTTGAGTCCCAGTTCCCTTAATGTGATTTTTAAGTGCAGTTGAGAATGTTCCAACTCAAAGCCACCCTGTATAGGGTTTCCAAGGAGTAGCTGATGTGTTTGGACCTTTTTGTTAGCAGGTCAGGTCAGTGCTTATCTTACAGAGCCACATAGTTTCTTAATAGTTGGGGGGCTTAAAGGTAGTGGGCAAAAAGCTTTTGGCACATGGTAAGTATTCCAAATTGATAAGAGAACTGGAGGAACTGGGGAGTGAGACTCATGCAGAATCAGTCTATTGAGGGGTGAGGGTGGTGGCATTAGATTTGAGGACTATGAATCAAAGTCGACAGAGAAGACTCAGCACTCAGGTGAGGGAAAGTAAGGTCATGCCATGGGGAAGAAATCTACAGTCAATCAAGTCTATAACTCAGGCAGAATTGACTCAAGTACTGAAGTAAGAAGCTGTGGGGAAAGAAAAAGGTAGAGGATGAAGTAAAAAGGAAGATTTGAGTTCGTTAACATGGGTGATTCAGGGTAAATATGAAAACACACATAATAGCAGTTGTGCCTTATTCATTAACCTTAATGGCAGAAAGATACTATGAGGTCAGTAATGTTTTACATAAATATACAGTGAAACTTGTGAGAGCCAGAACCTGACCTGACTCCTTTGTTTTTCCAGTTCTCTTCAAATATCCACCTTTGATAAAGTACAATATTAGCACTCGTATTTGAGGAAAATGTTTGAGTTTTCCTTCTCTGACAAGTTTCAGCCTTACACAGGGTTTTAGCTTTTGCAGGGTTTATGGGATATATTTGAAAAATAGCATGTGCTAACACTTAACAGTTACTGAATGTACACTTGTGTCCAGAACTAAGCATTTAATATCCATCGTCTCATTAAATCCTCATAACTACCCTCGGAAATATGTGACCCCCATTTTACAATTGAGGAAACTAAGGCACAGAGAGCATCTTAGTAAAGGGAAAGTTGGGACTATTTGGCTACTAACCAAAATGTTACGTACAAGAAAGACCTGGTGGACTACTTCTGAAAGAAAGTCATTGACGATCCTGTGGGCTTTGGGCCAATGAGGAGGCTCTTTCAGAACAGCCTCTCCTCCCCAGTCCCCTCTAAAACAGATGGGGTTGCTATGAGCCAGAATCAACTTGACAGCAACTGTTTTTTTGTTGGTTTGTTTTCATTGTGAATCCAGAACTTGTTATTCTGCTGCTACAAACGATCATGGCATCTTTGCAGAGTCTCAGACCTTTCACAGTAACTCCATGTTCTGAGGCAGAGGTTGGGAAACCCTGATTTAAAGCATTTGAGCCTCTCTGTGGTTCTGTTACAGTCTGAAGAAACAAATTTGTTTGCATGTTATTGTTGCAATTTTCAAATAGTCCCATCTGCAGAGAAATACTAAGGGGCATTTAACTAATATGTCAAGAGACACTTTGAAAGAGATATGTTAGTTGTTCAAATATGAAATCAATTACAATGATGAAATAATTAGAATAAAAGAAATTTAGAAGATAAGTTGAGGTATCTTGTTTTCCATTTTTATAATTCAATTACAACAACAACAACAACGAAATAGTTGAACTGGTTTGTATTCAGAGGGAAGTTCATTTTGTTTCCAATCACCAAAATTCTGAAAGAATGATCATCAAGATTTAGAGTTTCCTAATTTCCCTCCCCTTCCCCTGGCTAAGGAGCTCTGCTAGCGTTGTGGTTACCAGTTGAACTGCTAACCTCAAGGTCAGCTGTTCGAACTACCAGCCATTCCATGGGAGAAAGATGAGGCTTTCTGTTCCCATAAAGATGGACAGCCTCGGAAACCCTGTGCAGGGTTACTATGAATTGGGGTTGACTCCACTGCACACTACCACCACCAATCCCACCCCCAGCCCCCAGCTTTTAGACAGGCTTTAAATCCTTATAACTTCAGTTTCCTTAATGTGTTATGTCTTACTTGCTTTACTTCAGAAAATGGGTACTGATATTTCTTTCAAGTAAAATTCATTTAAATGCAATATATTTAAGCAAAGTAACATGGGAAAATTGATCATCTAGCCAGGCATATGCATTTGTCAATGCCTGAAGACACCTTACTAAGGAACTGGTAATTTATTCAAATGGCTGCATTTACTCAAACATAAATTTCTTCCCTCTAAAAGTTAATACTATTTGAGGGTTTGATTTATCAAATTCTGGGATAATCTAGACACTTTTATTTGTCTTCTGGTTATTTCTTTGAATACCAACAACGGTGGGTAAGATAATGGAGATTAGGTAAATTTAGCTTTCTTTTGACTGTTAAAAAATGTTGCTTAAAAAATAAGATGAATGGTTTCAAAATAAGTGTGCCCATGATTGTGTAGTTAGTTTAGTATACACTTCCTAATAACACTACTTCAGAGCTCTGAAAAGTGACTTTCCTTTTCCATGTCCTCAATATTTCTTTCTTTCTAAGATTCTAGGATGGTGCCTGATTTGCTCTGCATCTTTCTTCTCTCTGTTCACCACTTGTTACGGTCGCTGCCGAGCTAAAGTTAGCTACCTTCAGCTGAGTTTTTGGAAGACATATGTAGAAAAAGAGAAGGCGCAGTTGGAAGAAACATTCCTGGACTATGCCAACAAGCTGAGTGAGAGGAATTTGAAATGCTTTTTTGAAAACAAGAGGCCAGAAGCCTTTCCCTTGCCTTCCTTTGCCGCCTGGGAGGCTGCTTCAGAGCTGTATTCTTTCCACCAAACCCAGCAACACTATAGCACCCTCCACAAAGTGGTGGAGGATGGCCTGGAACTTGGCCCAGAGGAAAACGAGACAACAATGGCCCTTGTGGGTTCCACCCAACATGTATAGCTCATCTTTTATCTCTGATTCAAGTTTTTGTGAGTGGTATACCTCATATGCATGCGAAAGCTGGACAGTGACTAAGAAAGACCACAGAAAATTGATGTTTTTGAGTTATGGTGTTGGAGGAGAATATTGAAAGTGCCATGGGCAGCCAAAAGAACAAACAGATCTGTGTTGGAAGAAGTGCAGCCAGAGTGCTCCTTGGAGGCCAGGATGGCCAAACCTCATCTCTCATACTTCGGACATATTGTCAGGAGGGATCAGAATAATATCATATTTGGTAAGGTGGAGGGTCAGAGAAAAATAGGAAGACCCCCAGCGAGATGGGTTGGCAAAGTGGCTGCATCAATGGGCTCAAGTGTGGCAACAATTGTGAGGTTGGCCCAGGATTGGGCAGTGTTTTGTTCTGTTGTACACAGGGTCGCTATGAGAACAACAACAACATACTTATCTGAGATCCTCCTAATGCATCAGTGGCAACCTGTTTATCTGTGTTTCTGTAAATTTAATGTTTCTATACAAGACAATAACACAAACGAAGCAGCTTTGAAACTCCCAAGGGCAAACAGAAGTGCTCCAGCTGAGGCTGAATGACTGGTTTTAAAGGAACTCTTGCATTTATTTGTTGGGGATAAAGTGGCCCCTAAAGTCCTTTAGCGTAGTGGTTACGAATTGGGCTGCGAGCCGCAAGGTCAGCAGTTCGAAACTACCAGATATTCCACGGGAGAAAGATGAGGCTTTCTGCTCCCGTAAAGATTTACAGCCTTGGAAACCCTATGCAGGGTCGCTATGAGTCGGAACCAACTCCATGGCACACAACAACAACAACAACAAAGTCCTTTAAAGCGATAAGATTTCAATTTTAAGTCCTGAAACAGCCTGACACATGCAAGAAGATTAGCTTTCTCTACAGATGTTGGTTGGAATTCTTAGCATAGATTGCATTATCTAGCGAAATTTCAGTTGTGACTAGAAAGGGCCTTGTCCTGCAGATCTGCACTACTGCCTTTTGAAGTATATATGAAATTCCATGATTTGAAATTCATTCCCTTGGAACCTGAAGACCCCAGTTCTCAAAAATAACCAATTTAAAGGAGATAATGCCTAAAATTTAGAACTTTTCATTCATCATCATTGTATATGGAAAGTATGTCACTATAGGCAGGGCCACAGTGTGATTGTTATGGGCCTTGGGCACCCTTACCTCTGTGGGCCCCCTTCTACATTGTTTATGTTGTTGTTAGGTTCTGTAGAGTTGGTTCCAATGTACCCTGTATATAATAGAACAAAACATTGTCTGGTCTTGTACCATCCCCACATTGTGTTTATGTTTGAGCCCATTGTTGCAGCCACTGCCCTGTGTCAATCCATCTCATCGAGGGTCCTCCTTTTTTTACTGACCCTTTACTTTACCAAGCATGACATCCTTCTCCAGGGGCAGGAGAAGAGCATCATGATTGGTAAATATCCTGATAACATGTCCATATTATATAAGACAAAGTCTCACCAGCCTCACTTCTAAGGAGCATTCCGGTTGTACTCCCACGACAGTTTTGTTTGTTCTTCTGACAGTCCGTGGTACTTTCAATGCATCCATTCTTCTCCAGTCTGCCTTACTCATTGGTCAGCTTTCATATGCTTATGAATCATTGAAAATACCATGACTTGGGTCAGGATTACCTTAGTTCTCAAAGTGACATGTTTACTCTTTAGTAATTTAAAGACATTTTGCAGCAGATTTGCCCACTGCAATACGTCATTTGATCTCTGCTTCTATCTACATTAAAAAATACATGCATTTCTTACCACATTGATATAAGATAAACATATTAATATCACATAAGTGGCACTGGAGAACAAGCATTGGACTTCTAACCGTAAGGTTGGCTATTCAATCCCACCAGTCACTCCTCAGAAACCCATACAGAGCTGCCACGAGTCAGAATCAATTCGATGGCACTTAACAACAAATGGCAGCATATATTTCAATATTTTCTCCAACCTAAAAGTTCATTAATTTTCCATTAAAGCCCTTTTGTGTGTCCATAATAATGTCATGTGTCTTAGGCACAACATGATGCCTTCTGTATTTAATGGTAAATTGGCCTGGATTGGAGGACAGAATATACTGTCCAGAACAACGCTGGTGTAAAATGTTTTTACAGTTTCAAGTTTGTTAGAAATAATGCAAATGTCATATTTTACTATGTGATATATCCATCATACATTAGTTTATATATACCCAGGTCTATACATATGTGTATATATGTGTTTATATGTTTATATATGAATATATAACATATATATTTATATATACTCATATATTTAATTTTCCCAAATCTCTGCATGGCAGTGATGCTTAAGGTAGAGGTATTGTGTTGTATGCTGTGGTTTACACAGTATATTACTGAGAATCCTTGTCCCATAGTTTGAGAATCCTGGAGATTAACTACTAATTAGCATGAGACATGATCACAAACTGCGGGCAAGACATTGCAGGCATAAGACCCAGTACATAGTCTTGTGAATTTAGATGTGTGTGTGTGTGTGCATGTGTAAGGCAAGGACAGGTCAAGGATAAAAAATGGTAAAAATGTCAGAAAGAAGGAAGACAAAAGTCACCAAAGACAAATGTTCCTATTTAATCCTTCTTGATTTGGAGCTAGCCTGTCTTAGGTGTTGCTTATCTGGGAGAGGGTACTTGGAAATGGGCCAGTGCCCACAACATTTCATGCGGTAGACTGACGTATCAGCTATACAGAATTAGTTTACTATGGGTAGATGAGAATTCAAGAGTCAATTTGGGATGTATTTCTGCTACCCAGGGACTTTCCATAGTTGGGAAATTTATACTCATGACAACGACTGCCTGTTCAAAAACATCCAAGCTGACTAGTATCCAGTTGCAGCTCAAAGCATTCTTTGTGTTACCTGGTGAGTTGCAAAGGAGCCTGTTCCCCTGTTCTAGAGCACGGCACCACAACAAGTTCACATTCGGACTACTGGTGGTAATTTCCTGCAGGCTAGTCCTTCACCCAGAATTAAAACCAGTCAATGGTCAGCCAGGGAGAACGGGGGGAGCACTAGTTGTTTATTCTTGATTTAAGTTGGTATCCTTGGTAGCAACAATGGGCACAGACATAACAATTCTGAGGATTGCAAAAGACTAGGCATTGTTTCGTTCTGTTGTGCATAGGGTCTTTATGAGTTGGAACCAACTCAATGGCACCTAATGGTAACAATCAGAGGCAAAGCGATGAGCTTGTTATTTATTGTTTGGTTGTTAAGTGGCGTCAAGTCAGTTCTAACTCAGGGACCCAGTATAGGGTTTTCCAGGAGAGACTGGTAAGTTTGAACCATTGACCATTTGGTTAAAATTGACCTTGTGATCCTGTGTTTATCCTACAGTACCACATCAGTACTCCAGAGCTTGTTTTGGAAGGAACTTGTTTAGCTCCTTATTTAGGAGATAATTTAGATGCTTGAGCAATTGTGTTAAGACTCCCTCAAGGCAGAGTCTGAAACAGGAAAATCCTATGCAAGTGAAGGTAATGCTTTTAGGAGAGATCAGTAATCAGGACCTCCAAGGAAGGCTATGGTTTCAGGTAAAGTGTTTAGCTCTATCCCACAGGGAGCTCTTGACTCTGAGTTGTCCTATGGCCATCGAGTAGGTTCTGACTCACAGCGACCCTGTGTAAGGTTTCTGAGGAGTAGCTAGTGGGTTTGAACCATTGACCTTATGGTTAGCCATCCAGTGTTTATCCTACAGCATCTTTTGTCATTGTTTTTGTTGTTGTTAAGTGCTGTGGAGTAGGTTCCAACTCATAGTGATCCTGTATAGATTTCTGAGGCTATGAATCTTTGTGGAAGCAGAAAGCCTCATCTTTCTCCCCGACACCAAGCCTTGAGCAGTCAAAAATTTAAGTATCCAAGCTGACTCCATTTCTCGGTTGTAATTCCCTGACATCAAAAAGCAACAAATGTGAATGGTGGCAATCCTGATCTTTTCCCTCCCATATATCTGTTACATAAAAGGAAGGGGTCTAATAATTCTCGTGGGAAAAACAATGTTACTTTTCCATACAAGGAATACATAAATTGTACAAAAGGTCAGTGGTGTACAACACTTATTTTGTCAATTTTATCTCATGAATAAAGTTTATGCAAATTTTATGCAAAGTTTATGACTCTTTTTTTTCTGTGTTGTTGTTGTTAAGTGCCGTAGAGTCAGTTCCGACCCATAGCGACCCTGTACAGGGTTTCCGAGGGTGTAAATCTTTACGGGAGTAGAAAGCCTCATCTTTCTCCCGCGGAGCAGCTGGTAGTTTCAAACCGCTGACCTTAAGGTTCGCGGCCCGATTCGTAACCACTACGCTACCAGAGCTCCTTTTTTTTTGTAGTTCCTACTTTTTTTCTTCAGGCTCTACTAGGATATTCGGTAGTTTTACAACACATTCAGCTTATTTGTATTTAATGTAAAAACAGGAAATAACTTAGCAAAGATTTACAAAAATAAGACTTTGTGTTGGTGTGCTGTGGAGTGAGCCGTAAATCTCTACAGGGGAAGAAAGCCTCATTTTCTCTTGCAGACCCACTGGTAGATTTATACTCTGACTTTGAGGTTAGCAGCCCAATACATAATGCACTACACTATCAGGAGCTCTGGTAGCATAGTTACAAATCTGGCTGCTAATCTCACCATCAGTAGTTTGAAACTACCAGCTGTTCTGTGGGAGAAAGATAGACTTTCTGCTCTAGTAAAGATTTACAGCCTCAGAAACCCTACATAGGGTCACTATGAGTCGGAACCAACTCCAGGGCATATAACCACCACACTATTAGGGCTCCTTAAAGAATTATCAGTGTCACCTGAGAATCAGCATGTTAGGCATACCGAATCTCAGATCCCATCTCAGACCTATTTAATCAAGTCTGATGTTTAGCAAGATCTCAGGTGATTCCTTTGCACCTTAAAATTTGAGATACACTAGAGCAGTGGTTCTCAA